TTGACACGTTTTTGGGGACTGTTATGGACCTTTCTGCCTCGGTCACCATAGAACTTCATTATTTGAATGTCAGCAGACAGCAAGAAGCCTCCCAGATCTCCAGATGCATTTGAGATATCAAAAAAGTACTCCAGAGTGTTGATCAGCATGGGGGTGAGTAGAAAATGAAGGCTAATCATGTTTTGGGTGTACTATTCCTTTAAAACATCCTGATTTATGTTGGAAAGATGAAGCGAAGATTCTGCGCTGACCTTTAAAGAGGATGTTCTATCTTTGGTAGCATTTTTGGAAAAGGCCTGGTATCTGCAGTACTTTGCCTCCCATATGATGAACTATTCTCTCTGTATGTGTCTAAATGTTCTTATATCATGTTATATTATATATTATAATTGATAGTGTCTAATAAGCCCATGAGGACTTGTCCCCAACTAAGGTGCTTGAATTAAAACAATATTTGCTGTTTATTTAAAAAAGAATCATGCAAATGTCTCTACCTATTATAAAAGTAGAGCTGGATAAAGATCCTTGCAGAAGAAAGTGAAATAAAGACATAAAGAGCTGCTCTCCTACTCCAAACAGAATAATCCAGCTGAAGCAGAAGCATAAATATTGAATTGCACTATCAGCACTCAAGCTTAAGCAGAATAGCGGCACAGAGCTAAATTACTAGTGACAGATTTCTGGTGCATCCAAGAGCAGAGGCAAATCTGCCCCGACTTGGTGCACGTTCACCGAAAAGGGCGTGAGATTCGACAGGAGGTCCTTTTTGGATTGCTGAAGCCTCACACTGTGGAGGCTGTTGTTTTCCCCCACAGAAATCATTAAAAATCAGCTGTCTCAAACATGCCGCTAATTTAGCTTCTCTGTTTTCCTTGTTTTGCAGATGTATGATCGCTGATGAGGTAAGTAAACGACTCATTCTGATCAGGAAATCTATTTTCCCTTCCACCCAAAAAAAAACAAGCAAAAAACCTGAGACTTTTCTGCATGACTTCCAAATTAATTTGTCAGCCCTGTGCTGCGGTCCCGTGTGCCTAATCGCTTTTGACACCAGAATCATTGTGAGACCTTATTGCTCCTGGGCCTCACTCGAGCTCGGCCGTCATATGCAATTTGCAGCCGAGGCCCCCCCCTGTGAGATTGACTTGTTGTTTTTTTTTCCGTTTCCCCCTTTACCATGTGTTGATTTTTGCATCTTTCCTTCAGATGGGCCTTGGGAAGACAGTGCAGGCCATCGCGGTGGCATGTGCTTACAAACAGGACTGGCCGCTCCTGGTTGTGGTGCCCTCCTCTCTCAAATATCCCTGGATCGAGGAGCTGGAGAGGTGGATCCCAGAGCTGCAGCCTACAGACATCAATTTAGTGGAGAACAAGAGCCACACCATGTAGGTCATCCAAACACTTCCACTTCTGCAGAAACACACAGCGGCAGTTTTTAGAGGGAGCTCTCAAAGTCTGGGTTTTTTTTTCTCGCACTTTAAGCCGCAGCTTTAATTCAATTACATTTTGTGGCACAGGCCACCTGATGAGCATTAGAGGTGTTCATGATTAATGAATGTTAATGAGTCTATACGTCTGAAGGTGCATCTCAATGAATCTCGGCGCACAGCTCTGTCAAATTATCATAAGCACACACAGCAAGGTTTTCATGAATACTAATACTGTTAGGTGTTTGTGGAGATGGGATGGACCTATGAGCAGATAGACAAACTGAGAGAGAACAGGGGAAGTTTTACAAAACAGGAAGCGTTCTCGGCCGGCGGACGGCTTTGATAAACTAGTTGCTTTTTAAAAAATCTTGTTGCATTCCTGTGCTAAAGCTCACAGTGAATGTTAGCCTTACAAATCCAAGTAAATACGGCTGACGTTCTTGCAGCACAAATAATGTTGGCTTGTAAAACGCGATGAAATAGATTCATGATGTCTCCAGAAAATTATCTTCAAGTAAACATATATATTTAATAGTTGTAATAATTAAACTAATGAAAAACTATATATTTTTTGTTAATTTGATGAATAGATTGCACCTCACATTAAAATATTCACATTTACAAATAGACCACACTTCAGTGTTTAAGGTTTCTGGCACTTTTGGCTTTCCGTAGTTGCTTTAGTACCAATATATCCTGTGTACAGACTTCTGCTGGAGGAAAATGTTTAGATTTGAGCTCAAAATGTTAAGTTCTAAGCCTTTTTTTAGCATTTAAGGTCCTACAGCAGGATCTTCCCTTTTATCACTGTTTACCTGCAGCCTGGACCAGCAGATGCAGAGGTGGGCGGGCCTCACGCCAAAGGGTAAATTAAAAGAAAATAATAATAAAGGGTTTTATTTAATTAAAATATCAAGCATATCTATCTCATCAGAAAAGTGTTTTCTAAAAAAAAGACAAAGTTAAAACAAAATGTTCTTGACAAATTCAAAACTTTTCTATTTATTTTTTTTTACTATTCTGTGTTTGTTTTCTCCTGTATGTCCTTATTCACCTCTGGCATTCACTTGCTTCTCATATAACTGATATATTAAACGAAAGAAAAATAAACTAACTAGAAAGGCACTTGTAGGTAAAGCTGTAGCCAAAGCTTGCACACAATCTGAATCATTACCAGATGTTCTGCAGATTGAGACTTGGAGAGTGAGTCGTAACTGTTTGTTACGCCAAATAACGTTAAAGACACCTTTTTAAAATTCCTGCATCAGGATTATAATGTGGATTGTCACCAAAATGCAATGCATCGTTCCTTGGACTGAGGAGCACTTTTAATAAAATCTGGTCATAACTTTTAAAGTTATCCTGTACACAGGCAGACAAATTCTCCTAAAAACATAGCCTCCTATAGAACAACTTGTTTCAAAAGAAATTCCTCTGGATCCTGTTTTTTTTCATTCTGGGTTTATATCCCAAAAATATTAAATATACCAAATGTGAACAGTTATTGATCGATATATATCTGTTACAATCTAAACGTCTAATTGCACTTTTCTGGAAGAAATCAGCAGCACCAACTATCATGCACTGGGTCAGACAAATGTTGACAACTTTAGCCCTGGAACGTATAACATATCTCCTAAAAGGAAAAGGTGATTTATTTGAAAATATATGGAGACCCTTTATGACTTTTGTGGAAGGTCTGGACTTATCTAAAGACAACGAGGACAATTAAGTAATACCAGCTTGGAAATCTGGTTGATATCGGAGCCTTTGTAACCACTTTGTGTCTCTAGCTGAAAAAAGTGTAAAACTATTCAAATACAGATGCGTATCTGAGAGGGTGTTTGTTTATGGTATGGTTCTTGTACTTGTTTATACGGTATGTATGATTGTTAAAAATAATAAAAAAAACATTGTTGGAAAAAAAAACATAACCTCCTAGGCGGAGGTAAAAATTGGAGCGGTAATTGTGAGAACATCCTTTGGTTCACTATGAAAACATGAGTGATACAGGTTTTTACAGGCTGGCATATATAACAAAAAACAACTTTAGACACAGCTAAAAAATCAGGATGTTTTTACTCAATACACTTCTTGTATTGATATGATGCAATGGTGGCATCAGATTCCAGCTTTGTTGTAGCCCAAACATTATTCATTTAAAACGTTAAACTAACCTGATGAAATTATGTTCTTGTGCTTTATCTGCTACCAATTCCTCTTCCTTCCAGAGGGCTAACATCAGGGGGTCGACCGTGATTAATAAGCAGCACAGTGATTGGGATGCAGGTCTCTGTTAAATGACACTGATGTGTAACTTTCACATTTACGCAGTCAGCAATCCTTTGTCACCCTGTTGGATTCTGCCACCATGTTTGACTTTTCCCCGAGACTGTTTTTTTTCCCTTTGTGTATTTCTGTTAGATGAGTTTTTGTTCCCAACAGGAGAAACACGACGCTCCTACTTCTGTGCAAGTGATTGTGATTGTTCTGCTACCTTGAACCCGCCCCTTTATAGGTGCTTGTTGACAGATTCATGATTCACAGTCAGAGCTGGTCTGAGTTAGTGAGCTGATAACCAGCTTGGTGGTACAGCTGATCCTGACTGCCATTGTTGTGGAAGGGTTAAACTGGATAGACTGGAACCAATGCTGCTAGGTTGAGTTTGCTTCGAGGTACAGGTCTCTGCTTGAAAGATCTAACAGAATTAATTGGATGGATGGATGGATGGATGGATGGATGGATGGATGGATGGATGGA